ATTTGTGGGGTTCTTGGCAAAGCATCTTGGGAAGACTTTAGGGTGTAGGGGTTTGGGGTTTGGGGTTAGGGTTAAGGGGCTTGGGGTTTAGGGGTTTGGGGTTTAGGGTTGGGAAGAGTGTACCGGGCTCTTCAGCTAAAGCTCGCTCTATTCTGGGCTCCTGCGTCTAAGGCGTTTGAGAATGTCTTGAGAGGGCCTACCAGTGTCTCTGCTCGGTTCTACAGAGCCTGCAACGAGGTGCAGGGTGTTCGCCTACTTGGAGGTTCATGGGTAGTTATAAGTGAGTTATAAGTCCCCTAATAACTATAGTTATCCTACTTATAGCCCTACTTATAACTACCCATAAACCTCTAAGTAAGCAATGGTTCATCAATGATTCCTTTCGAGAAATCTCCACGGGTTTGGGGTTCCCAGCAACTCCAATATCTTGGTTTCTGGCCCTAGTTGGTAGCAGTTGGATAAACTTCACAATATAGTTTATCTAGAGCCCTTAACACTTGATGTAGCTGCTGAGCTCATAAGCACAAAAAAGTTCACACTTTCAGTTCTATAAAGGGATCATATTATCCCAAGAAGTTTAAAGCGTACTTATTCAGCTACTAAGAACATGATCCCTAAACAAAACCTGCTAGAGGGGTTTGGGGTTTTTCAGAGACTCCACTGTCCCTTAAGGTTGCCTCCCGCCTGAAGGATCTTCAGGGCTTGGGTCTTGGGTAAAACAATTTTATCCGGTGGGGTAGCTTAAGATAACATATAGTATAGAATCATCATGCATAACATAATATTCTAGAATGATCTCTCTCTCTCTCTCTCTCTCTCTCTCTCTCTCTCTCTCTCTCTCTAGTAATGCAGAACATAATCTACAACATACTATGTAATATTCTTGAGGTGTGGTCGCAGAGTGTTGGGTTGAGGCTCCATAGTTAAGGAGGTTGGATTTGGGCATTGGCCTGGGGGTTTGCCTTCCAAGCGGCCCTGATCGTATAGCTCGCCCCCACGAGGGCTTAACTAAGAGGCTTAGGGTTCAGAGTTTAGGGCTTGGTGTGTCGGCTGTTGTGGGAGGTTTAGGTCTGAGGGGTTTGGGTTCAATGTTTGGCATGAAATCACCCTGCGAAGCCCAGGTCGGTTTTTGGATCAGGTGCTCCGGCTCGAAGATGCAGGGTCCCAATATAGGGTTTAGGGTTTCAACTTGCGGACCCTGGTTTTTCTAAGACTTCTGAAGGGGTCCCCCACAGAATCGACCCCTCTGTAGAACTCCTTAAAAGATCCCCTGGAAGAGGGACCTCAAGGGGAACCTTTAAAGGGAAGACATTCGTCCCCTAAATCCGAAACCCTAAACCTTAAACCCTAAACCTTAAACCCTAAACCCTAAACCCGGATCCGCTTTCAGAACCTCTTAAAGGTAATCAGGGGCCCTCTTCTTCCTCTCGTTGTCTGAAACCCTCCGATTGCTTCCGGGATGCGAGAAGGCTGAACACCCCGCCGAGCCTCTCTGCTCCGAGCAATCATGCTTGTTCCATTGCTTTGGGGGATTCTGGGTTTGGGGCAGAGATGCTTGCTTGGAGGTTTATGGATAGTTACAAGGTTCCGTTAAGGGATCTATAAGGGCCAAGGTGCTTGTTCCATTGCTTTAGGGGTTCTGGGTTTGGGGCTGAAGGTTTAAGGTTTAAGCCTTAGTATTAGGGTCTAAGGTTTAGGGTTTATGGGTGGTTTTGGGTTTGGGGCTTAAGGTTAAAGCCTTAGTACTAGGGTGTAAGGTTTAGGGTTTATGGGTTGGGGGTGTAGGGGTTTTGGGTTTGGGGCTTAAGGTTTAAGGTTTAGGCCTTAGTATTAGGGTGTAAGGTTTAGGGTTTAGGAAGTTTGGGGCGTAAGGTTTGAGGTTTAAGCCTTAGGGTGTAAGGTTTAGGGTTTTAGGCTTTGGGACTTAAGGTTTAGGGTTTAGGAATTCAGGCTTTGGGTTTCCGGCTTACCTGGTACGTTGGGACAGAAGTACCTACTTGGAGGTTCATGGCTAGATAGAAGTAGGGTTTTAAGTCCCCTAATATAGGTTATAACTGTAGTTACCCTGCTTATATCCCTACTTATACCTACCCATGAACCTCCAAGTAATCGGGGTAAAAAGTAACTATTATACGTATGATCGCCTTGCTCCACCAGTTGCGAGGGTTCCTTTAGGGACTGCTGTTTCTCTGTGGGTTTCCCAGAGACTCCAAAATCCCTTAATTGAGGAATACATACCTTAAATCATATTCGGGATCCTACTATAATTTAAGGTATATTCCTTAATTAAGGGATATTGGAGTCTCTGGTTTCAGGTTCCTTGTGTAGGGCTTCGAATTAGCTTGACCTGGGGTACCTTTGAAAGAGATTCAATGCCGGGCCTTACCAAGTGGAGCAAGTTCGTATAAGGGGTCTACAGTGTTCTTGTAGCGTTTGTGTTGTATTAACTTTTACGGCGCTTAGACTGTGGGAAGTCTGGTAAACACCCCGTTATACGCATTGAAAGATGTTGCGTAGTGATGGTCATCCAGGTTTGAAGGTTCATAACCCTAAAACCCTCAAACCCTAGAAACCCCTAAAGCCCTAAACCCCAAAACCCTAAAACCATAAACCCTAATCCCTAAAACCCTAAATCTTTGCCTCAGAGCATGAATTTGGCGCCGCTGCCGACGCGCTTAGTGACGGGGCTGAATTGTAAGACACCTGTTTTTCTTCTTGGTTCCTGAGTAGCCCCTTTATATTAAAGGGTACCCTTTTTCCTACTATTCGGTTTTAGTAACGGGGGCCCTACAATAAAAAGGGCAAAAGGGTACTACTCAGGGACCTAGCTGTTTTCTTGAAGCATCCAAAAACCCAAGGATGGTATGCACAAACTTACCAACGAAGCCCGATGCAACCCTAATTTAAACCCTAAGTCCTAAACCCCCCAAAACCCAAAACCCTAAATCCCTAAACTCCTAAGCCCCAAACCCCCAAACCCCACAACGCCTAAACTCCAAAACCCTAAACTTCTAGAGGGAAGGCTCTGGGGCTTAGGCTGCCATTTCAACCATACACATTGAAGACAAGACGAACTTCGAAGGGTTTAGGGTTTAGGGGTTTCGGGTTTCGGGTTTTCGGGTTTAGGGCAAACTTCGAGCCCTGCTTGAAAACCACAGCCCCCTGACCCCGCACATGAAGTGATCGGCTTGACGTTCAGGCTTCAGGAAGCACAGTCTCTTGACTGTGATACTCTTCATCTTCAACTGTAGTATCTCATGGGCCCACAAATCAAGCTGCTGGTTTTTGATCACTCCTTGGGTTTCTACAATACTAGCAGCAGTGAAACATGATTTCTAGGGAGGACCCAGTCAGTGCCAGAATGCTACCCACCATGACAATGACTACTATCGTGGAGAGGCTGATCTCCTTGAGAGAAATACTACAAGGGCAGCTCTCTAAATGAGGGTCCCTGTTGGGTCCCAAATATAGTACAGCACTCTCATAAAATAGGACCCTAATTTGGAGAGCCAACCACAAACAAACACTGCTGAGTTTTTTGGAAAAGCCAGGGGCTCTCCAACAAGACCCAAGTGAGGCTTTTTGGAGTGCCCCTGAATCAAGTAATGTAGGGGACTTAACAATTTGAATAGGGTTTTGGGCTCTCCGTCATAGTATAACTGCATTAAGGAACCCTTTAGAAAATAGTATGTGTAAGTGATTAAGCCCCTAAAGTATCCTTCCCCCTGCAACGGTGCATGAGAGGAACACGCTTCCCAAAGCGCCCGCAGTGCTGCCAACGGCGCCGATAGCACCCACCACCATGGCTCTGTGAGAAAAGCCGCCGGGTAAGGCGGGAAAGAGGACGGTCAGGACACGGACTGCCGGGGAGAGGGGTCGGGGCTTTTTGTAGGGGTCTGTGAAGGTTCTATCAGGGCTAATTACAGAGGTGTTGCACGGGTGTAGGGCTTGTGCCGCATTGGGCACGGGTTAGTTGATGGCTATAGGCTTACTTGTGCGGGTCAGAAGGTTGGGGTTGGGTGTAGGCTCGAGGGCTTATTCTTTAGGGTCAGGGTTTAGGGTTCAGGGTTTACTGTTTAGGGCTTGTTGGCTAGGGTTTAGGTTGGGTACTGGCCCCCACACAGTAACAGTCTATCATAGGGCTACCATTAAGGGCCAGGGCCTAATATATCCATCAAATGAAACTTACCCAACTGTTACTGTGTAGGGGCAGTATCCAACGTTCAGGGTTTACTGCTTGGGCTTAGAGGTTTTCAATGTTAGGGCCCTTGCAGGGTTTGGGGGTACGTTCCAGTATGACCACAACAAAAAACCCAAAATAATTAGTATTGGTTGCTTATTAGGTTTCTGTATTAGACAGCTTGCCTTGAACATCGGTGACCAGCGGTCCAGCGGTTCGACGCGAGCGTGTTGAGGGGTGGCGATTCAGGCATGTAAAAGTAAGCAACTCAGATGCAGGGGCTCAAGTTTTACCTGGGGGGTTTTGGGTTTTGGGGTTTAGTTTTAAAGTTTAGGCTTTAAAAGCTTAGAGTTCCATGCTTGCGGTCGTCCACGTTGGGGCTGGGATGTACAGTCTTGGGTTTTCGAGGAGTATTTTGATATATGTTCAATTCTGGTCGTAGGATGCGCAGCGCATCCCCAATTGGGACTGACCCCTGTTTATCACGACTTCTCCCTGGCTCCGTTCTGCTGTAGGGGTTAGGGTTTAGGGTTTAGGGTTACTTGGAGGTTCATGGGTAGTTATAAGTAAGGTTATAAGTAGGGTAGCTATAGTTCTAACCTGCCATAGGGGACTTATAGCTCCACCTATAACTACCCATGAACCTCCCCAACTAACCCAGAACCCTACAATTGGGCAATGCAGTCGAAATACCTCAATACCTCAAGCCTTGAAGCAACAACTAGCTTAAAGCTTACCTGAGCGGCTGGACTGAAACCCCAACTGTTATGAGCTTCTGGTGCAGAGGAAGGCTCATTTCTTGCCGCTGTCTGCTTGAATCTCACGTTGCTCTGCACCACTTGCCACATAAGGCGATCAGATAAGTTGCGGCAGGAGTCAGGAGCAGGAAAGCACCCATGTAGTTCCAAAAGCCCGGTGCTGAACACAGAAGACAGCAGCTCAGGCTGATGAAGCCCACAGCCACGATACTCGCAGTATGCATTGGGAGAAGGACCGCAGCAAAAAGCACGAAATGCGTTTTATTATCTGTAAGTATAGAATGGAACACCGTAAATTCGAGCCCTAGGCCGCCCCAGATCAGAACATCATCTAGCCGGGAGAGGACTGGGCTTTCGCTGTGGAGCCCCCAGAGAACCTCAAGATTCCAACCCGCGTTAAAGGGCAGCAAGAACATCCACAAGAAGAGATGCTGGTCTCTGCCTTGGAGCACCTTCCATCCGAAGTTCGCGAAGCATCGCAGGCTCAAAGGGAGGTAGAGCCCGTAGAGTGAAGTCAGGACGGCTTTCACGAAGAGCTGCCACGCCGACTCTGCGTCTTCGTTCCAGCTGCACCGCAAAACCAAAAGGCAGGGCGCTACGTGGAAGAAAACGAGCCGGAGAGGAGGATAGAGGAGGCGTGCGACGAAGTTGATGTAGTAACGCTTTCCCAACCATTTCAAGGGCTCCTCTGAAATCCGTTGTTTCTCATCTTCCGTCAGCACGGACCACGGCTTTTCAATGTCGATGTCGTCAGGCCCCTGGACAAAACATGGCTCCACCAGCTTCTGAACCAGCTTCGAACCAAGCTGCACGAGCACGAGCACGGCAAAGGGGGCTAGAAATCGGATCGTGATGAACTGGTCGCGAAAGTCCCGGAACGCTTCATTGCTGGGAAAGAGCAAGAGGTCCAACGCCTTCCATAATGCCTTGATGGGGTCGTCTTCATCGTCCTGCCCCTTTTCGTGTTGCTCTGGCATGGTATCCCGGCAAGCACCCAGCACCAAGATTTGGAGGAGGACTGCGAATAGCATGCAAACAGCGCGGAGGGAGCTGGGGCCAACAGCGAGACTTTGAGGAACCGAGCTGCGTAATGTAGGGGCCTGAATATAGTATATTATACCCCCCCAAAACCCTATTCTGATTATTAAACGGAAGTCGGCAGCATAATAAACAGAAAACAAACTGAGGGGACCCTAATATGCAGGTATGTGCTGCATACGACCATACGACCACAGACAAGTCGATCGAACAAGGGTCCAACTGCCTGGGGCTTGGCCAACACTATCTCGCGACAACGAGGGCCGTAATGATTAATGATTCGCAGAGGGTGTTGGCGTACCTTGTACTATACTTGTTGTAGGAGCCTTCAGGATTAATTAGTCGGTTTAGGGTTTACGGTTTAGGGTCGTTTGGGGTTTAGGATCAGCTAGTATTGGCAATTATTCCGGCGTCGCTACTAAGCAAAACCAGCCTGAACAAGCTTGTTTGACCTGCAACACATCTCTCATAGCGCCTGTAGAATATGTCCTACAGTCCCTAAGACCGGCATCAAGCCCAATGCTTGGCTTGTAAAGGATTTTCCTCCATATAATCATGTAACCCTGAGGCTCCATTTACCTCTGCCGGCAAGTACCTAGATAGGAACCTCAGCAAGGCCTAAGCATACAGTATATAAGCACAAGGAGCCTTGGGGTAAGTTCTTGAAGGTTATGCACAACTATAGTCTCCATTGTAGTTCCTTTCTTGAATTACCTCACGGCCCCACAGTGTTAAACCAAAAAAGGAACTACAATAGAGACTACAGGTAAGCAATTTGTTAAAGTACCTGAATCTCTTGCGGGATCAAAATAAATAGACTTAGCTAGCTAATTGGCTCGCTATAACTGTGGGTTTTCACAAATATATAGAAAGGGCAGAGCTACAGAGAAGCTTCAGAGTCTCTGGGTGTGGGGTATACCGGAGTTATGCAGGGTTTAGAGTTCAGGGTTTGGTGTTTCGAGTCTATAAGTCTAAGGATTCATGACACATGCCGAGTGATGAGCATAACAGGGGATGTAACCAGGATCATGTGATTAGCACGACAGAAAACCACAGTATGCAGGGTCAAGTTGGGCAAATTGGACAAGCTGGTTGTGGTATGGGTATCTTCATCAGGCCCATCGGGCTAGAAGAGGTTGCCAAGATAATTCCACAGTTGCCCGACTTATCACCCTGTGCACTAGGTAAGTTCCCTGACTCGCTGCAGTGCCCTGACCCTTTGAGTAACAGGGTTGATCTTGTTTGATGTCACCAGATCAGCTTAGCTAATGCAGCTAACGAACCTGTTGTGGTGGATTGTGCTCAAGGACGACTAATCCCCCCAAAAAGAAACCTTATGGATCGGTACGCGGGTGTTGCCTCTGTGTTGCTTTTGACTTCTTGCCAGGTCACAAGAGTAGATGTGGTACTGTTGATGCTATAAATCCTGCATTACCTTAAGGCTTAAGGACCCTACACTATGGGAATTATGGTTAATATCCCTTATTATGGGTAATGCAGGACTTCTACCATCAACCGTATTATTTGGTATACAAGAGGGTTACTACAATAGATCTTTTATCGGATCCTTAAGGGAGGGTGGTTCAAGCGGGGAGGGTCCTAGGGATCCTTAGGGAGCTTTAGGGAACCTAAGGGAGCCCTGGGAGAATTGGGGATTATTGGGTTATATACCCCTCTTGGAACCCCCTCCCTTAAGGATCCCATAAATCTTATCCTTAGGGGCCTTCTCTTAGGGCTGCTGCACGTCGGGGGGTGCCAAGGTGCTCCTGGCTCAAGATGGGTAGTTCTCCTAACTAGGGCTCCTTCTAGGGGTCCTTTTTATAAGGGTGCCCTACTTTTCTTGGGGATCCAAAAAGGGACCTTAATTTAGAGAACCACCCAGATTG